CAATTGTACATTTTGTGATGTCTGAAGTCAAATTAATTGTCAGAATATGATAAACATGTCAATCCTGAAACAAACATATTATTGGTGTCAACTGGGTATGTCGCGTTAGTCCACATGTTCGTATATTATGTGCATGAATCTCAGAGACCTTTATTAGACCTTATTCTAGTCTAATGTAACTAACTAAAGCCACGCAACTTTTCCCAAAGAAATAAAAATTCTGTTTCTATATGTATGGGCTTTAAGATAAGTCCCTAAATTTTGCAGTTAACATTTACTTCTCTGAGGGAGCCGCAAAAGTTACTCTGGATTTTCCGTCGTGGTTTTCTCCTGCAGTGGAAGTCCGGGCACAATTTCCCTCAGCATGCCGATGGGGCAGACAAGTATAGGACGTTAAACCCCCATTCCATTTCAATAGTTATTTTTAAATTAAATTTTTATATAGTTCAGATGAATATCCAGTTTTCAAGCGCGTGACAGACCTACGTGGGTGTCCCCCTCCCACCCGAATAACAGTATTTAAAAAAACACTTATTCTTTTGTTCCTAGTGAGGGGCGCTTAAACTTATAATCTAATCTAGATAGGCGTCACAAAACACCATTGAAATCCCAGTTTAAACAAAATTCTCTGTATAGAATAATATAAAAATAAAAAATAACCAGTTTTATGGTTTTATGCACTGATATAATGTATATCTGTGATTTTACATTTAAAAGAGTAAAATTGGTAAATGGCCAATAATTATTCATAACTTTATTATACTGAGACCTTATTCAGCGTCAATGAAGAGACCATTAATGTGTCACATCATAAACGTTTCCATAGATACCTGTATTTGTCGACAAATCAGTATAATTAAATGAAAATAAATGTTTGATTGACAATAAAATGCTATTTTATATACATAAATGTTTTGATTGGCCATAAAAACTCTAATTTTGAGATTAAGTGAAATTTATTCTACCACCCTGCTGAAGACCCCTCGTCCACCCGTTTCCGGTCAAAAGAAAAATTTAATCCTGTATGCACCAAAACAAATTTCATAAAAATATTATCTATTTATCAATGGTTTTAAAACACCTGGGTACAACAGAACATTTCAATATTTATTTTAATTCTTGTATTTACAATCTACAGGAGACAGTTTGTGTACGAGTCCTATATAAGTCGAAAGCACCTACTCAGTCACTGAAAAGATATATACGCATCATCACACTCACCAAGATTATAAATATTATGAATTTTTAAAATCATTTTCAAAATAATGTCAGCCTTAATCGGTTATATTTTGCGGCAGCAAACAAATTGTTATTGTCAGGGCAAATAATTCAGATCTCACTTTGAACAATTGTTGCTACCGCGTTTCCCAATGGTCTTTCTGTTACACTGAAGCCGCCACATTATTTGTCACAAGCAATAAACCCGAAATCATATTTTGCATAGTGAAGTCGCGGCCCTATTGAACTTTTTAAACACAGGGGTCTCTGTTTCACAAAGCGATCTCTATATGAAATAAGTGTCATCTATTGATAATTAACAGCATTTTCAAACTTGATGAAAGGTTTATATTAGACAGTAGAAAGTTCCACAGTCAACACAGATTAAACTATCATCATCCATAATTTGGTTTGTTAAAATCAAAAGACAGTTTACAATTGACCCATATAATCGTTCATAATTAGACCTTAATTAAAGTATTTACTAGTTTTGCAGGGCCTCTAGTCTGCGTCAATTATGTTACTCTAATTTCAACATTTTAAGCAATATTTAAAGTCATAATAACGGTTCTTGTCCGTTACACTATTTGCTAAAAATATTAGATTTCACTACTAGGGGTCACGGTGGCTAAGTGTGTAAGACGCTGACTCGCTAGTCTGGAGGTCGCGTGTTCGATCCCTGCATTGGTCGAGAAAGTTCATCGGGATTTTCCGATGTGGTTTCCCCTTATCAGTGGTGCAGAATGAAGGGCCCGACAAGGACAGATGCCTGGTCGTTCGGAATAGTACGAAAAACCGAGGTCCCGTGTATACATTGGCGTGCACGTAAAAGATCCCTTGGCAGAATTTCCCTCATAGCACGTTGTACAGCGCATGCGCGTCTTCATTTTCCCAGTCGGAGCAGAACATACTATGACGATTTAACTTCATTTTTGTGGGTTGTACGTGACAAAGAGTAGGGTCGCCTGTTCAACCTCGTGGGTTTTCTCCGGGTCCTTCGGTTTCATCCCACTGCTAAAGACCCCTACGTGCAAGCGAATTATTGAAATAAAAAAAAATTAAACCATTTGTTAGTCCCGAAATGACCTAGTTTGTGTCGAGCGGACGTTAAACCCCATTCCTCTCTCTCTCATTTTAAGTTAATGTATATTATCGTAAAGAAACACAGAATTTGTAATATAAATACAGATATTTCAATCAGCAAAAAGTGTTCATGTAGCCCCACCCCCCCAAAAAACAGAAAAAAAACCAAAATCACTTTCGGTGAAATTTCACCTTGTGCTCCAATTAATCGACGTTTTTTTTTTCTCAAATTGTGTATAAGACCCATAAGCTGTAACTGTATATTGTCAATTATAGGTTTAAACCATTTTGGGTAGGATGGATGACATTATTCACATCAGATATTTTTGTATATATTATTCGGATTACCTGTCAGTTTAATAATTTCTGTAAAGTGATTTCAAAGATGCGTCAATCAATTCCCCATATATATATTTTTTTTAAATCGTCATTCCACATGTTAAAAATATTTATCACAGAATTCTCAATTATAAGGCCAAATGAATCTTCGATAGTGCCTTTTTGATGACCTAAAGAGGCAGAGTCAAAAACCATTCCTAGATTTAATTGTGTCACAATTAATACTTACAAAAATTTAGTTAAAGAAAATACAGTAGTGAGTAAATTTATTTTGCGTTGAAGACAAGTGTGATCTGTTACATCTCAATGCTATTCAGATTGTGGAAAGAGATTTCGCCGCCAGGTTTTATAAAACTTGCGTTATTTGTCATGTATGTAAAATATGTAGGTAGGTGAGTAAGTTGCGCACTACCGTCCTAAATTCCATTTCTTTCAACAACAGATGCACGTTAGAGTATTATAGATGTTATCTAACACTATCTAATAGATTCTACCACATGGTAACAATAGACTTCTGATACCTTTAAAGAAGCAGTCTCATGCAGACATTTAGTAAATAAGTAGGACGTTAACCTAGCTCATTTAGGAAATAAAACTGGCTAATTATGCATAAGAGATTCGCAGAAACTTTATTCTAGTCTAATGTAAGTAACTAAAGCTACGCAACTTTTTCGGAGAATAAAAACTTTCTTTCCATGTATAGGGCTTTAAGATAAGTCCTGAAATTTAACAGTTAACGTTTACTTCTCTGAGGGAGCCGCAAAATTTAACTCTGGATATTCCGTCTGCAGTGCGAAGGACTTGGAAAGGAATTTATAGTCGTTTAATTGGGTGGGAAGAGCAATGGATGTCCGGGCACAATTCCGCTCAGCACACTGCAGGGAGAGACAAGTAGGACGTTAAACCCCATTCCATTCCATTTTATTAACAGATTCTCTTCAAAATCTGGGACTTCCATTTGAATAATATTATATTTAAAGACTTAGTGGGAGTGAACTCAATATTTTGCTGCACATAAGTAAAAAATGACGAAGAGGTAAATAAGGCAAGCTGTACAATCCTTGTCATTTACAAATCTGGTTTACATACATGTATTTGCAGTCATGAAGGAACGTCCCCTTCCTTTAATTCAAATTTACCCGTGTTTCCACTGGTCTCATGTTTATACCACAGTAATTCGAGTCTATACCAGAAATTTTGGTCTCTTGTCTATACCAAGAATTCCCGTCTCTTGATTACACCAGGAATTCGGAGTCTCTTGTTTATACTAGGGATTTCGAACCTCTTGTTCCCAGGTATATAATAACACAAACACTTTTCGTAATTATATTTTATTTATGTCACAGTATACTGATGTTTATGAAAATATAGAAATATACAAAATATCGGATGATATAATATTATACATTGTAACTTTATATAATACAATAATATATAACATATGTTAGAAGTAGTATTAAGTACACAAAATAGTTTCATACCCTTCAATGTCAAGCTATTTCTATTCACATTCTTAACATGTATGTGACAACGTTCATTACTTCCTACCTAGAACAGACAGCATTATAAACTACACCCGGTGCTACAGCTGTAACGTAAGCGATGTTTTAACGTGAAAATGTGTAAAACTGATATGAGAGCGAGAACCATACAACTGTTATTTATAGTTATATAATTGACTGTAAGTACTGTATCTAAGATAGGCATGTAACTTAGCTTCAAGCCATTAGCAAGCAATCGTTGTAAAAGTAAAAGTAATGTACTGTTAAGTTTAAAATTTTTTGGCTCCACGAGATTCACATTTCATTAGCCCCATCCACAGAACCGAAATGTACTTGAAGGGTCATTAACCTTAAAGAAGTCAAGTCCCGAACTCAATATCATCCACAGTCTTCGACATTGCAAACGCGGCTTATTGGTCAATTTAATCAACATTGATGCTGTTATCTCACCGTGAATAGATGGGCTTCTGATATTCAATATTTAAGACAAAATGAAAATGTTAAAATTGGCACAAGAATTGCGTGACAGAATGCTTTCGAACGCCATTTATAATGAAGAGACTCGATGAACGAGGCTAACCATACCCCACTACCGCTGTAGACTGGAATAACCAGGCGCCAAAGACGTCCATTCCATTTGGACACTTCGCGAATTTCGCCGAACAAAACTGATTAGAAAGTATATGCATCGTGACCATTCGAGGTATCAAAGAAGAGAGATTTGGCTCCATTAAGCATTCATGCTGAACACTTTTGTACGAGTACTACATAAATTTTCCCTTGCATTCCCGAACTAGGCAAACTGGAAAACAGGGATAACGCTACTTACTTAAGAACAAAAGAATTGAACATAAAACATATAACCGTAATAATTTATGTATATGGTCAACATGTTATTAGAACATATTCCACATACAGATTATACATCTAATTACATCATTTAGTCAAACTTACAAAAAGAAAAACGAAAAAAGAAATTAACTTTCGTCAACATTTAAATAGGTTAAGTCAATGACCCTCACACAAAAGAGGTTAACAGAGTTATATTCTCACAATAATGATATGACACTTCATAAATATGGAAGTAATAGCTTTACTTGTTGTGTTATTTAATGTTATATACCATACCCGATATTGGTACTTCATCACCCAAATAGTATACAATGATGAACTAACTTTGTATCCGTTCACGAGCTGTCATTCTATTTTTAGTAATACGGGGAAGCCTTCAGTTTTCTCTTGGGAACAACGTACGTAAACATACTATGTTCATGGTGATTGTAAAGTCAATTTTTATCAAAACAGTAATCAGAATAAACCTCATTGATTGTTGAGTTATGTCAGCCATTAATTGCGTGCAATACCATTAGTTTTTTGTTCGAATATCGAGTTACCTGTAGTTTAAGACGACAACGAAATTTAATGAAAGAAGAAGCCATGATGGCATAAGTGAGGCTGATGTCCCCGCCCTCCCCCTGCCTTAATCCCAATATAATTAGATGCCACTCATAGATTTATTATCTTTTAACAACGTATCAAACAATCAAATTACTTATCACTCTTAACAAATATTGCTCATTATCGAACTAAGTCAAGACACCAGTACAGCTCTAATGAAACTATACCGGTACAACAATTTGAATAAGAGTGACATGGTGTTCCAAAGCATTGATAAATCTAATTGCTTATCTTTGCTTAGCCTAAGCAGAAAATGGTCATCTGTCAAGGCATTCACTTATTAAACATCTTCACCCCAATTAGAAGCTGGCAAATTCATTTTAATAGTCTCGTTGACAAATTTTTAATTCATCATATCTTTGTAAATACTGAACCATTTTTAGACTGATCTTGCATTTAGAGATTTAATTTTAACAATTTGTAGGTGTTCAAGGAATATCCAACAAATGATAAACAGCAGTTTCAACCAATATAAAAATTTATCAGTGTATAATGCTTGATAGTTGCCATTTCATATTTATATACTTAAATTGAAATATTTGACTACAGACATTATCTATCAACTATCAAGTATTAATCCAATCTGTTTTTAAAATTTCCTGTAGCTGACGTAAGACCATGGCATATGTCTAGGGATATGTCCCTAAGAATTAATACAATAACATCTAAAGTACATTTGAATACTGTGTTAATTAGCCTAATTAATTATTATCATCAATTATTATTTATTTATTCATATAGTTAATGGATAGAATGATATTAATTATGATAATTGTTAATTATTATAAAGGAATTGTTTAGAACCATATTAACACAAGGGCAAAGGCTTAGATGACAATTTACTAGTACATGTACAAGTAATTTAAAATAAATCTTATCTATAAAAGATTCTGTTGGTGTAGTGTTTTATTGATTAATTTGTATAAATTTCATTCATGATTTGCAATGTCAAGGATTCGTTTTTGCAACCAATTTAAACTGACTTCTGGTTTTGAATGGAAAGACCATTACAGCAGACTTAAAGTAGCTAAGTCTCTAACTCAATATCATCCAAAGTCTTCGACATTGAAAACACTAATTATTTGTCAATTTAAATCAAAATTGATATTGTGATCTTATCGGGAAAAGATGGGCTTCTGATATTCAATATTTAAGACAAAATACACATTTTACCATTGGTGCACGAATCAGCGCCATTTGTAACAAGGGACTCGAAGAACAAGGCTAGAGATACTCAACGAGTCATGTCAAACGGTGACGCGATATTCTTATCTGGAGAACATGCACAATAAATACTATCGATGTAGACCAGAATAACCAGATACTAGAGATTGCCATTCGATTGAGACATTTGGTGTATTTTGCCAAACAAAACTGACTTGAAATTAGGGTAAAAATGGAAACGATTGAATGTAAATCAGTTAATATACATTCATATTACATTATTATATATGTTGCAACCCATTTGTGTCAATTTCTAGGTCCCAAATAGTAGCAATTTAGCCCCTTTAAGTAACAGGATAATATGTTAAAGTTACAAATTTTCTTGGTGTGTTTAATTGTTTGTTAATGTCCCTGGTTATTTGTTGAATAATACTGATGGGCAGCACATCATGTTAGATTTCAGATGCTCTATAAATGTATTATTAGTATTTCAATTCTTTATTTCTTCAAGTTTACTGACTCATCAGATAACATACATGTACACTAATATAATACACAATATATACATGGCAAGTAAATATAAACAAATAGACAAAAGAAGTATGGGGGTGGGGTGTAATTAAATTGTGTTAAATTAATAGCCTATATAGGATACAAAGATTTTTAACATGACAGAATGAATCAGTATATATAAACTTCATGAAATCTTGCAATGATTTATTTTTCTTTCAGATCTTCTAAAATGCCCTTAAAAACGCGAAAAATTGACTAGATTATTATCATAGTAATGACCATGTAACAGTCAATTTATTAGATATTTAATAATATTTACAGTTTAGATACTGTATATATTTGATTTCTCTAGCACATCTTTACCACCTTGGACTGAAATTATTGGTTCTATGTTTTGAGCAAAACAAGATGTACACTGGTTTAATTGACATATTTACTGATATTTATCAATGAGACTGAAAACTGCTATACTAGAAGATACTATAGAATTACTGCTATAAAGAACTACCCATACAGTTGCTACACTTCTGGTAATTGGTTCTCAAAAAGCAATTATTGTGTTTACAACACTCTGAGGTAAAGGGACCAAGGTTGAGAGTGTTGGTACTCTTACACTGTGTACAAGGGATACTGTGTTTTCTTTATTATTGAAGTACTCCAGTAAATCACCATCCATCTATCAGATAGCTACCTCAAAGACAAAAATATCATCAAGACCACACAAACAGTCTGTTTTAACCCTTCAAATAGTTCATTGTACCATTCTTGGAATCCTTCAGTCAAAATAGCTGTACTATTATTTTATTTAAATAAAGATTTGGAAGAAGATATCCATATGGTCAAGCCCAAGTGCTCTTTATTTTCTCATTGACCTGATGTTAAATTCATCACATACATATGTTGATACTCTTGATTTATTTTCCTTATTTATCATTCTTATCTGATAAAGTATTTTAATGTTAGTTTTTGATCCATAAATATTTTACAATTTATTATTTTAATTATGTTTTAAATGTCATAAATGTTGATGGAGTCATCTTTTACATACATATCAAAAGGTTTGAATTTGTTCAAAATTATATGAACTTGCTAATTGTTACATAAAACAGTCTGTTAGTGTATTTGATAAAAGAAGTAGGCCACCCACATAACATTTTTTTTTTTATAAATAGATTACAATTTAAAAACTACCATTATAGGTCAGGATGTCACCTTGTCATAAACTCAAAATGTTAAAGAAACTACTAAATGATAGATTAATATCCATTTAAATTATCTTCTGGATACTTGTCTCTACAGTCTTCACTAGTCATCTTGTGAATCTCCACCTTGAATTCAAGTCCATATGTCACCCAGGGTCAATCAACTGAAAATATAAAAGTATACATCTAAACATACAAGTACAATTTGAAAACATTAATCAAATTTCAGTCAATTTATGCAAAAAAACAGATCTAGAATCAATTGTGTGTAAATTTCTTAGCAAATTACCTTGCTTTGCAATTTCAACAGATCAATTTCATTGATAAGATCTTTACAACACTGGACTTTTTATAAATGAAAAATAGATGTTTCAACCATTAAAATCTGAATGATATTTAAATCGTAATGGTTTTCAGTTGTTATCAGTATATATAATAAGAGTAGTTATTTATTAACATATCTATTGAATGAGGTCAGCGACCATGGCACATAGTATTAACCTAATAAAGAGACACGCTTACATTATATACCATATAAAATCTATATTCACACTTATATAACATGTATATATTTCTCATTAAACACTTCAAATAAAGGAAAGTTTTCACCCATTTTTAAATATAAGAAATATAATAAATGTTCTAATTCTTTGATAGTGTCCTCAAATGGTGGCTATATATATAATTTTATTATTGGGAGAGAAATGAAATGAAATGAAATGGGGTTTAACGTCCTGTTTTACTCCGAACTGGGCTAATGAAGACGGGCATACGCCATACTGTGTGCTATGAGGGAAATTTTGCCCGGACAGCAGCACTACGGCCTACTCTTATATCGAATTCTAACTGTCAAGGGATCTTTTACGTGCATGCCAATAGGTACATGGGTGCTCGTTTTTTTGTCTCATCCGAATGACTAGACAGCTGTCCTTGTCAGGCCCTCCGTCCTGCATCACTGATAAGGGGGAACCACGTTTATTGGGAGAGGAAATATTCAATAAAATGATGAGAATAAAATGAGGCCTAATGTTTTCTGTCCACTTTCATCTGGGTTACGAGACACTAGACACTTTACTGCTACAAACCCGTCTTCATTAGCCCAGGTTAGGAGCAGAACAGTAGGACGTTAAACCCCATTTCATTTCATTACTGCTACAAATGTTCTAAACTAGAACAATCTTCAAAATTTTGAAATGGCACTGACAAAAAAACATTCACAGATTCCAATGGGTATGTGAATTTCGACATTTGCAACAAGAGAATGTGCATCTATCAAAAGAACAGACTGGTATAAAAAAAAGAAGAAAATATAAAAAAAAACTTTTTTCACTTTTTCATACTATCACTTGGCGTACTGTACTTTCTTTTGATCGTCAGTTTATATGTTGCTCATTCACTGAACAATTACAAAAGAAATATTTTCAGTGGAACAGGTGGTAGATGGCAGTGATAGATAATACACCTTATTATGAGTGCAAGAGGTACAGGTACCATCCTATTTAATGAATTGCGATTTCTATACATGATCTTGTATAGAACTTTCCTACAATTCTTATTCAAATTAATAAACTATTATTTGTCAAGATCTTCAGAATAAAATCTATAGAATCTGTATGGTGTTTGATATAAAAAAAGAAGACAATACTAACTTGCCCTGTACTGATGTTTATAAGACCTTTTTGATCATCTAGTTGCGGACTTGTATTCAAGAACAGATATCGATACCCCAGATGAAAGGTAAGTGTATTTCTGTGAAGATTGTTTTGTGTAAGTAGAATACTATTATAATAAAATATTATACTAGAATAACTAGAGCGCAATAAAAACTACTTAAGGACATAGCGACCTGACCTCAAATGACATGACTAACTCTGTTAGTTACACTGACCTGATTGGTTGCCAGAAAAACTTGGGGTAATAGTAATTATTGTAAGTGTGTACCATCAGTGTTATCTTGGTCTGGTAAGATAAGGCATTTCGCCAGAATCAGTCGAAAAGCCAGCAGACATAACTATTATTATCTAATAAATCATTATTCAACTAACACTAGTCTTACAACTGTTACTACCAGTCTGCTATTGTCATATACCAGAATATATTTTTACTTAAACAATCTCATTCTGTGATCATCTGAAGGGAGTAGAATGACATTCAGATTTTAGTGAACCAAAAGGTGTGGATTAAAATACTTCTGGTAACTAACAGGATTATTTCTTAAACAATTATAATCCACACAAATATCCTCGATACCGATATAACAGACTATGCTTTCACGATTAACCTAACTTTACTTGGTAGTGTAAACATAAATTATTATTGGTTATAATTTGTGTACTGGAGAAAATGGGGAATTTTGCCTTTTTTGTCTCTTTTTCTTCAATTTTTTGATACCAAGTGATGTTAGAACAAGTTCATGTTTCTTATACATATATCAACCAGGCGTGAATTGGTAGAATACTTTGCTTGCAGCTTGCTAATAAACATGGGCATATTCTCATGAAATATGAAATCCTGACATGTAAAATGACAAGCAATCAGATGTGTATCCTTCAAATTTAGTATTTTTACATTACTATTCCTTTAAGCTCTGCAAAGTATTGGATTCCTTTTCCATCAGCCGAATTGACCTTGAGTTATGTTTCACCACTATACTCCTACAAGGCCAATAACGGTTATGTGAATATTGCACCATTCTAGATGACTTTCTGATGTAATGTTCTCGGGTAGAGGTTAAAATATGTACTGAATAGCTGAACATTAAATAGCGGAGTTGAAGATAACTGTACTAGATCTATATAGCTACAGTATTATTCTACACATCTATGTTACTATGTCAATAGCGTAAATATTCTAGTCTGCCTGAATATATCAAGATTATTCCCTATAGTTTCCTTAGGATTCAAATCACTGAATTACTAATCAAAATACAGATTGCCAGGCAACAAAACAAAAACTCACAGCAGCTAAGTTGTCAAGACATTTACCCAATGAACATCTACACCAAGTTTGTACATTCTACCTCAATTACAGGCATAGAGAGAGAGAGAGGGTTTAACATACACTCAACACAAACTAGCTACTTTTGAGACTAACACATGGTACAATTTTATTTCAATAATTCGCCTGCATATGTGAGGAACCCAGAAGACCCAGAGAAAACCTGCTCTTTATCACATACAGAATTGGGATCAAAACCATGCCACTTGTCTCAACGACAGACCTTATGATCTAAACTGCACCTTTTAGACCATTAGACAACCAAACACCTTTACTCAATTGGAATTAAAATTATTGTGTTCAAAAGTCTTGACCAATCCAATTTTATTTCAATAATTCACATGCACATGGAAGGAACCCAGAAGACCCAATCCAATTGCTTAACCTTCTACTTTACAATGCACTAAAATCTGATTCAGAGTAACAACCCATAAAGTAATTATCAGAAATCAGTAGAACTTGTTTGGCTTCTACATGTAGTTCTGCCCATGCTGATGTTCACAAAACATTTAATATCATGGATTTAGCTGTTGAAGTTATTAAAAATAATTGGAAATTAATATACTTGTTTGACTCAAGACCTTAAACTGTGTGTATAAATTTAAAGTAAATCGAATGATAACTTTGGCCTGTAGAGTATCCACAAGATTTTTCGAGTGTGTGTGTGTGTGTGGGGGGGGGGGGGCGCCAACAATATATGACTACATTTCAATGTGGGCATATAAAAACTGTGATGAACGAGCAGAGAGAGAGAGAGAGAAATGAGGTTTAAGAGAGAGAGAGAGAGAGAGAGAAATGAGGTTTAACATCCACTCGACACAAACTAGATCATTTTGGGACTAACACATGGTTCAATTTTATTTCAATAATTCGCTTGCGTGTAGGGGTCTTTAGCAGTGGGAGGAAACCGGAGGACCCAGAGAAAACACACAAGGTTGGACAGGCGACCCTACTCCTTGTCACGTACAACCGGGGAATCGAACCCCGCCAGTTGACTCAATGACATACTGTATGATACAGCGCAGCGCGCACATGCTAACCATTTGGCCATCCAACCCCCCCCCCCCCCATGAATGAGCAGACAAAGGCCACTTATGCAATTAATGTCATAGGATCAACATAGTACTATATACATGAATAAGAAAAGTGAAGAACAGCAACGATTTAAAACAATCTTGAATCTTGAATAAAAAAAAGTATGCATACATATTTAGTGGTAAGATGATTGACATTCTGAACCTTTAAGCAAAATGCCTGAAATACCTTTTCAATTGATCATATCAAGATTTAGTTGTACTCATGTTTAGCTGTTCATGACGTAAAATAAATACCAAGAATATGCCTGAAAAATTATTACTACTAATCATAAATAATCTTAGAAATAGAAATATTCTGAATAATAATATATCTCATTATAAAGTTGTGTATGATAAAAAAAAATCAAGCTATCGTGATCAAGATGAAATTACATGTAATTATACTTTACTGTTTTTACTCATTATATTCATTCATATCTGATTTTAACGTTTCATTTAATATATAATCAAATAGGTTATCTTGCTACAATTAGTCATACATATATCAAGCTTTAGATAAAAATGAAATTGAATGGAGTTTAATGCCCTACTGTTGTGCACCGACTAGAGTAATATGGAGGGATCTATAAAGAAAATTCTGCTAGAATAGTGACGTTCGTCCTACACCTTATTTCGATTTCCAGCTGTGAAAGATTTTTTTAAGTGCATGGGAACTAGATACAGTTCCTTGTCAGGCTCTCCGTCCTGCACTAATGACAAGGGGAAACCTGACTAAAAATCCTGGGGAACTAATGACAAGGGGAAACCTGGCTAGAATTCCTGGGGAACGTTCTCGGCCAACACAATTGGGTCAAACTCTTGACCCCTGGTAAGTGAGCCAGTGCGTTACTCACCGAGTCACAGTGGTTTCCTGTTTTAGATAAACTTACCTACAAATAGCACAAGTATATTGATTAAAGGCACAACCACTGAGAATCAAGTGGACCTGTTCTCAAAAAGTCTATTGATTACAATATGTATAAATTAGAATGAGAATAAGTTTGAGTATAAGTTCTGAAATATTTCTGTCAATTTAGTTTCAAGATCTATATATACGAGTGCAGGGCGTCGGAACCTGGGTACCAGGGTAT